TCCATCTCGTTAACACTATTTGTGAAATTGTGTACACGAGTAACAAATGTTCTATCCTATATTAAGACATGAAATTTGATGACATTATTTTTACATACTGTACAAACTCACCTGTGGAGGATGGTCACGATATTCGACCAATGCTAAACGAATGTCACTCTTTTCACTTCTCACAATTTCTTCAACAATTGCACGTATGTTATTCTTAGCACTTTCAATATATGAAGCCATCGATCCAGTGCAGTCCATTGCAAACGCAAGATCTATTTAAAAAATATAGATGTTTTCGATTTTCGATGCATAAATTTTCCAAATCTTACCCAAAATTGATGCATCGTGTTCAGCCAATTCTGGCTGTTCGGGTTTTTCAACTTGAATTCCAGAAGTTACTTTTGCTTGTTGTCGTCTACTCATTTTAGATTATGATGACAGAAAAAAAAAATAAGAAACTGAATACGTATGCCTATTAAAGTAATACTTTTTATAGGTGGTCATAGTGTGCACTCTATTATAAGCATGTTGTGCAAGCCTAAAGCATTTCATCAGTCGGCGTCATTTCTTAGTCAATAACGAAAATAAAACGTAGACTGATGAAATGCTAAGAAATAATACAGTGAAATGTCAAGAAACATATAAGTAGTTTTTTTTTTTAGTTCNGGAATATTTCCAAATCTAGGTGTAGAATGCAATCCAAAGCAATAGCGTTGCAAAGTAATCGAATTTGAATGTACATAATACAAGCTTTTTCCGACAGTAATAAATGTGGAAAAATATTGTTTTGTTTTCAATCGATCTTGGCATAAACATCAAATGTTGATAAATTTATGAAGAACTCAAAACCATGTACTGCGCAGGAAATATTGATATAAACTCTTTAAGAGACGGTCCACGAGAAAATCGAACATTTATCAACAGGACGATACCCTCGAAAAATTTTGACCCCCATATTTTATGATTGGAAATGAAAGAGTAAAGTGAGAAACCTATAAATCCAAAATTTTAGCTCATTTTAACTTACCAATAAAAAGTTATGAAGTACACACTGAAAGCACCCTCAACAGGTTTTGAAAAAAAAATTTTTTTTTTTTTAAAATTTGGTAGGTCAGTATTTGGCCATTTTTTCCACAGTGAATTGTCACAATCTTTTCGAGTAATATATCATTTGATAGAGAAAATTTCGCTCTACAAAACTATATATATGGCCTTCTTTGGAACCTCCATGATATAGGTACACCAGCTCAAAACTTGATCGCCCCTACTGTTTTTTTCGCATTTTTTTCTCGTTCTTCTTTTCATTACAAGCTGTATTTCTCTGCTAGGTCTAATGAGACCAGATGTTTCTCTATGGATTTAGATAGAGCAAAGAAAGAGCTATCCAATGAGTATAAAATGATTGAAATCAAAGTAGCAACAAGCCTTCATTTGAGCCACACAAGATATTCTACTACCATCTCAATAATCGTATTTTTCATATATTTTTTATTATTTTCCTATATCGTTTATAAATGTTTCATCTTTAAATTTTTTTCAAACTAGCAAATTAATTTAAATTTATTTTTCAATGTTGAAAAATACATCAGGCTGATTATTTCAAAATTCTTAAACTCATCTATATTAATTGATTAGCTATGCTTACAGAGTATGTGTAGTACGATCAATACTTCTCATAGAAGTTATGCTTTGTAAAACTAAAGTAGTTGCATTTATAAGACTTTTATGTGGCACAAGATTTATTATTTTGCTTTATTTGTTTTGATTTTTACTAACTATCAGTATGAAGAAAGGATATTTTATTATACATCATTGACAATTGACAAATCATCAAAATTTGAATATTGCTATATTCCATTAAATTTCTGCGACAAATATTAACTTTTGATCAAAAAGACCATTTCGCAATGGGAAACAGCTGATTCCATGTCATTGGAATCCCTGGAATCCCTTTGAATCCATTTGAGTCCCATGGGATCCCATGAAATCCCTTGGAATTCCTTGGAATCTCATGGAATCCCTTGGAATTCTTTGGAGTCAGTCAGAGGAATTAGTCAATAGGGTCAATGAAAAACGGACATAGAGATCGGAAATTAATTACATAATTAAACACAAGGGGAACAGCTGATTCAGGACAACAGAATCAACTAGAATCACTTGGAATAATCGGAATCCCTCAAAGTCATCATGAGATCAATAGGAATGCAGTCTTCAGAAATGTGCTCCAAGGTTATTTCGGGTCGAGAATCCGAATCTGAGGTGCATTTGCCACGAAGTCCCATTGGTCGATCGGGAACCAATAGAAATCGAGGTTTCGGGAAAAGTATTCTCCAGGGGTTATTTGGGGTCGAGAAGCAGAATCTGAGGCTCGTTTGCCTCGAAATCCTATTGGTCGACCAGGAACCAGTAGAAATGGAGTTTTCAAGAAAATAATCGCCTGAGGGTCCTTTGACAAAAATCGATGTTGATCTGCACTTTAAAAAAAGTTCGGTAGTTTTTACTATCGAAAACCTTTTTAGGGTTTCCGAGTCATGCAGAAACTTTTCTTGAGCGTTTCCGAGCCTTCGGAAACCCTGCAAGAGTTTCCAATAGAAACAAAACCGAATTTTTTTAGGGTGTATCTATCGATTTCGTAGTGTAGACCTTGTAAGATAGAGCACATTCTCCACTGCGGAATACAGTGCAGTCAATGAGCTGTTTGATGTTATGCAATGAAAGTATATGGGCACTTCTGAACTCCGTTGCTAAAGAAATACACACATCTCGCACCTTTTGGTTTTGAATCTCACCAGCTTCTCTAGAAGTTTGGTTTTTAAATGAATGTTATCATCATTGTATGGAATATACGGTATTTACGTATTTGCTTCTATTTGGCTCTCTACTCTTGAAAGTCCCTGAAGGGGTCTAGTGTTGATTTCGAATGACTGGGAAGAAAAGCAAACGACATGAAACAATGAAAAAAATAACCTGAGAGCAGGAGTGACAAACTACAAAGCCTATTTATCGCGGAATCTGTGAGCCGTTGACCAGAAAGTAGTTTCCAGCATCTAGAACAGAGCTTGTTCATTCAATGAAATGGGACTGCGAGAGGAAAAGCTCGATCCTGATGTGGAGAGATCACAGCCGAACAAATCAGACATTTTACCATTACTCTTTTCACAAACATACGGCATCTAACACCTCTCTGGATGCATTGTTTTGGTCGATCATGATCAATAGTCTAGTAATAATCACTGGGACAGTTATTCTAAACAATGTGAGGAGGGGAGCGACTCTGCTTCAATTTCAAAATTTATTTTGAATCTTCTCAAAATATGTTACTTTTTCTAGTCGTTTCCGTATGTCCCATATTTATCGTCAACGTTTAACGCTGAAGTGCAAACCCCGGTGTCAAAATGAATAGAAAAATCAGTTCTACAACATAAATGAGCAGGATATTCCCTCTTTCTCTTTGATTTTTCTCAAACACCAACTACTCTGGACTCATACGCCCTGATGCCTTCGTTGTTTATCAGAACCTTTTGAGAAATATAAATAATGCAAAACTTGAAAAATTAGGGCTCTATCAAGTTTTATCTCCACCTCTGCACTATATTTTGGAATCAACACGAATTTGTCGACCTTTACGATTGTGAAGTTGGAACCCACGTGGACATATATTTTGAGGATCAATGCGAACGCAACGCTTGACAGAGTCAAGATTTACCAGCTGAAACAATAATTGAGCAAATCTTCATTATTCATGATTTTCGGGCAGCAATCAAATTTTCAGGCACATCTGATGCAGGTTTGAACTTCCACCTCCATAGTACGGCCAAGGGGTGGTTTTCCTGAAAACTCGATTTCTGTTAATCCTGAACCGACCAATAGAACGTCCAGGAATATGGACCTCACAATCGGATTCCCCGTGCAAATAACCTCAGGAGAACTCCGTTCCTGAAAACTGAATTTCTATTGGTTCCCGACTGACCAATACAGTTACAAGGCAAATTGACCTCAGCTGCGGATTCCTCACGCCAAATAATTTCTGCTGGACACCTTTCATAAAAAATGGATTTCTATTCGTTCCTGACAGACAAATAGGATTTCGAGGCAAACGGACCTCAGATTCCGCTTCTCGACCCCAAATAACCCCTGGAGAATACTTTTCCCGAAAACTCCATTTCTACTGGTTCCTGGTCGACCAATAGGATTTCGAGGCAAACGAGCCTCAGATTCTGCTTCTCGACCCCAAATAACCCCTGGAGAATACTTTTCCCGAAACCTCGATTTCTATTGGTTCCCGATCGACCAATGGGACTTCGTGGCAAATGCACCTCAGATTCGGATTCTCGACCCGAAATAACCTTGGAGCACATTTCNCACACCCACACCCACACCCACACCCACACCCATCCTCATACATACTTTGCAAACACTGAATTCTATTGGTTCGCCATTATGGATTTCTTGTGGCCTCCATTCTGTTTCATACTTTTCCCTTATTTCGCCGTTTTCCTTAAACGGTGACTACAAGCGTGAAACTCAATATTTAGTGAACTCTGTAAATTGCAGTAATTAAAAAGAAAAGAAGCACTATTGTAGTTTAGCGCTTTCTACAAATTACAGCCAGTTAAATTGAAATAATGAAACCCAATCTTTAGCGAACTCTATAAATTTCAGCAAGTTTGAAAATATAACTGAAAGTTTAAGTTATATTAAGAGACGGTCCACGAGAAAATCGAACATTTATCAACAGGACGATACCCTCGAAAAATTTTGACCCCCATATTTTATGATTGAAAATGAAAGAGTAAAGTGGGAAACCTATAAATCCAAAATTTTAGCTCATTCTAACTTACCAATAAAAAGTTATGAAGTACACACTGAAAGCACCCTCAACAGGTTTTGAAAAAAAAAATTTGGTAAGTCAGTATTTGGCCATTTTTTCCACAGTGAATTGTCACAATCTTTTCGAGTAATATATCATTTGATAGAGAAAATTTTGCTCTACAAAACTATATATATGGCCTTCTTTGGAACCTCCATTATATAGGTACACCAGGCTCAAAACTTGATCGCCCCTACTGCTTTTTTCGCATTTTTTTCTCGTTCTTCTTTTCATTACAAGCTGTATTTCTCTGCTAGTTCTAATGAGACCAGAGGTTTCTCTATGGATTTAGATAGAGCGAAGAAAGAGCTATCCAATGAGTATAAAATGATTGAAATAAAAGTAGCAACAAACCTTCATTTGAGCCACACAAGATATTCTACTACCATCTCAATAATCGTATTTTTCATATATTTTTTATTATTTTCCTATATCCTTTATGAATGTTTCATCTTTAAATTTTTTTCAAACAAGCAAATTAATTTAAATTTATTTTTCAATGTTGAAAAATACATCAGGCTGATTATTTCAATAATTCTTAAACTCATCTATA